GCCTTGGCTTTAGCTTTTGCCTTCAGAGCACGGGGTCGTCCATAGCTGGGACCATACATATCTCTCTTCTCAGCTTGTTGAGATTCATGAGTGCTGAGCCTCTCAACAATATCAGCGGGACCAAGTGAATTGTAATCAGGACGCTCTTGAGACCTCAGCAATTTCTTCGCCACCTCGTGGTCAGTTATGTCAGCAGTACCGAGAACATGTAGCTCATTGGAGATATTAGTGATGCGATCGAAGGTTTGCTGAACATTTTCATTGTCGAGCCCCATGAAGCGGTTGAAGAGATTGCAAAGCACATAAACTCAAGAGTCACGTTGAGTGGAAACTCCCTCATTGACTTTGGAGAGCCTATCCCAGATAAGCTTTGATGTTTCCAGTGCATTCACTCTACCATATTGTCCTTTGTTGAGATGTCCACATATGATGTTCTTCACTAAACAATTGAGTTGCTTGAATCTCTTCACATCTGCAGCACTGATGCTAGGGCCAACAGGTGGGATGCCATTCTCAACTACGAACCAGAGATTGTTGTCAATTGCCTCAAGATGCATGCACATCTTGTTCTTCCAGTAAGAATAGTCCATGCCATCGAAGATGGGGCACATAGCGGAGACCTTGATCATACCTGCAGTCGACATAACTAAAACTCCAGGTGGTTAAACCAAAATCACACAGAATAAGAGAGTGCCTTGCTCTGATACCAATCGAAAGCGCGGGTTTACTCCCAGAGGGGGTGAATGGGAGATTTTTAGAATTTCGTCAAACTCTGAAGAATTTGACAAAGATTAGAGTGAAGAAATAGAAACGCGAGGGAACTAAATCATCACAGAAATGAAAAGCATGCATACAAGATACATACAGATGAAGAACATGCAATCATATGGGCATACAAGCATGAGGAAGATGAACTGAAGAAATAAAATACAACAAGATGAAAGTCTTCAGTTCAAGTTCTTTAGAAAGTAGATCACAAATTCTTCGGCAGTGGATAATATGAAGGAAGGGTGAGGAATTTGAAACCAGATTGGCTCGGTGAAGACACGACTATTTGGTAGACCAGTTCCAGTTGTTGTATTAACTGTACGTCTGGTTGAGGCGGCTGAGATGAACTCAGAGGACACACAGTCGTCACCGTATTCCTCTTGAGATAAGGTCACATAGGCCTCGCCCAATCACTCGTGGTAAATCTTCAAGGTAGACTTCCAAAAACTTCATAGACTTGTTCACTGGCACACCACAATGACTCATGGGTGCTCAGAACATGACGCCTAATCATCTGGAAGAATGGCAGTCTTCAAAGGTAAAAGGCATCAGGTCACACAAATCAATCTCTTTAGTGATGCTCAATCACTTTGGCTCTGGGGTTTTCCTCAACTAGGATTATCTCAAAGTCATTAGAGGATGGGTTGCTCTCAAATGACAAGTGTCAAGTTCTCTCTGACCAGCCAACTGTGGGGGCGGCTATTTATAGCCAGGGGAACCCGACATGAATTGTCACAAATGCCCTTCTCTGATATGACCGTTGTCAGGATAAGAATCCACTCGAAAGCTAGCCCGCGGCAGAGCAACGGTCAAAATTTGAACTCTCAAATTCGTCGGGGCACTCAATTTCCTCACTTTTAGGCAGATCGCACTGGCGAAATCCTAACTCCTCAGCCTGACCAAATCCGTCAGTGACCAGATGAACTTCGTCACTATCGCTTAGCAAATGCATCAGTAGTTCTGGAGATTTCCAAAGGCTTCACTCGAAGCGGCTTGTGTATGTATAAGTTTGAGCATCGCTTTGGAAATGTGAACTATGATTCACCTAGACCCCCTTAAAATTACGGTTTTTCCTATGACTCAAAATAAGAAGAAGAGACTACAAAAACAAAAGTCTCCAAGCTGCAAGTCTTCACATCAATTTCTTCAAAGGCCGTACCAATTTTATCACCAAATTCTTCACTTGAAGAAATCCATTTTTAGGGGTCGTCTTCCATGGGTTAAACCAAATCTTTAGGGAGTAATATCTCCTGTGTACACTCACAAATACGTTAGTCCCTCAACCTATTTGTCTTCAGTACTCCAAAACCACTAAGGGAGCACTTGATGCACTTAAACCTCACTCAGGGTAGATCTTCACGAAGTAGGCGGTCTCCTTGTCCTTACAAACTCCTTGGTTCAACTCCACAAGATCTCGGAGGCTCCCAAGTGACACCTAACCAATCTAGGAGACACCACTCTCCAAAAGGTAATAGATGGTGTTGTTGATAATGAACGCCTTGCTCTTGTGCTTCAAATGATAGTCTCCTCAACACTCAATCACTCTCTCATAGATTTGGCTTGGGTAGGAGAAGGATTGGAGTGGAAAGCAACTTGAGGAGGCTAGAGATCAAGGTTCAAATGGTTGGATTGAAATCTCTTGATCTCAACACATGAGTAGGTGGTTCTCTCTCAGAAAATCAATGCTGGGAAGTGTAGATACGTTGGGATGGCTCTCTTAGAGAGTAGGAGGGGGTGGAGGGGTATTTATAGCCTTCACCGAAAATCCAATCGTTACATACTTTGACTAAACTCGGTGACACCGATCCAAAAACTCGATGAGACTGACCTGTGTAAAAGATATGAATGTTGGGCTTTTCAGTGGGACCGAAGTGAAAATCCCGAACAGACCAAAATGCGATGACCTAGGCATGACTTGGTTTCGGTAGTTTCGGTCAGTCAAACTCAGTGATTCCGAAGTGAACGAATTGGTTTACAGAAACTTGGTCACTGCAACTCGATGAGACCGATCGCAATCTCGATGAGACCAAAATTCTAGGGTTTGGCTCTAGCAGTGTATAGGATCAACTTGATGGGTCTAGAGTAGATGTTTCCCATGGGACTGAGTTGGCTATTTAGGGTTTTGTACATGTATGATTTGGAGAAAGTGGTAGAGGGGTTTTGGAGCAATATCTTAAGTACTTGAGCAATTGAGTCATGATCAAAACCTCGTCCCCATTTAATAGTATTGACTTTCCTATGGACTCAATGTTATATTGAATCACTTAACCAAAAATGTAGGGTGTGAAAGTTTTGCCAATCCATGTCCTTAGTATTTTGAGGGGTCCACATTCTCATGTGCCTTGCCATGCCAATCATTAAACTTTTGTGAAACCTATCTTGAATAAGCATTAGTTCAATGACATATATGTTATTATGAATTACCAAAACCACTCGCGGATTAGTTGCACTTTCACTTATCTTGAGCCATCGATCAGATTGAATGTAGCACCCTGCCGATAGCTCTTGGCCTCTATTGCTATGGGGAAAAGAAGGTGTGGCTTTGGACCCCAAACTCTTCCATGGCGCCCTTCTTCTTATAGCATGGGTAAGAGATCAATACGAACAAAAATCTCACCCATTGTATCCATCCTGATATGATTGGGTGATTTGCACGTTCCCTTAAGAACAAGCGCGCACACGCACACACAATCATGAAAAGAGACAGATGCATACGTTGTCTAACTCACCTCGTAAGACATCTTTCCTCGTATGGCCAAGCGAAAGAGGAGGTCTTAAGCGAAAAGATGTGCAATCAAGCTCAAACACCACAGATAACAGATCTCAAGCACTGGTTTCTCTTAGGGCATCTTCAATGATTGTAAGATAGTTGTCGGTAAACTTTGTCACATAGGATTTTTGATGATGTGTCATACAATAAATGAGGAAAGAAAGGAAGGTTATATGTACATGAACCAACACCCATTGCACAAGCTCCAATGTAGAATGAGAGAACACCTCATTTATTATCTCACATCCTATTGGGCAAACTAGATATAATCCATTGAAGTTGTTGTATGTTAAGGTGTTGGTTGATGACATGGCATATTTTACCAACAAGCTAACATACAAACTATTGAAGATGCCTTTAGGAGAAACCCATAAATCCATCATTAAATAACTTAGTTTGAAGGGCCCGAAGTACCCGTGCCATCCCTTTCAACCATACTATCTGCAATAGCAGCTTTGTAATAGGGTAGTAGCCATGGTTCCCCACTTTTCAAGCCAAAAAGGAGATCTAAATGTTCTATTTGTGAAATTTACCCTAAAAAATCTTGGGCAGCCCTGAAGTGCAACAACGAATGCTACAAATATACAGCACTTTGGTTGTTGCGGAGGATCACGTAGGACCACAAGAAAATGGTTATTTGTGTCAAAACAGCACATTTTGGGGCACCAATTTTCGGGCTGTGTTGGAGAGTACATTTTCTTATACCTTAAAAACCACATTTTTCTGCCCCAAAATTTACTCCAACCACATTTTTGTGCTCTTAGTGCCACCATCCATCAAAATTCCCTAACTGGCTCCAAAGGCTTGAAGTTCAGCAAAACCATAGAGAAATCGGGCTACACTGCTTAGCCTATACAATATCCGATTCAAAAGGAGTTACAGATGCTCTAAGCTCCGTTTGCCATTTCAAGGCCTCTGACTTCTCAGAGGCCTGAGATTATTTACAATGTTTACAGAAGCAAACTGCAAAGACGCAACAACAACAAAAAAAGAACATTTAGTATAGTAAAAGCCCCTAAGCTTTTTTTCAACAGCAAAAACTAAATTCCTCAGATGATCAACAAAATCATTTACAAGGAAACAAGAAACAAAGTAAAAGAAATGAGTAACTTGATCCACAGTCCACTTTATAACCAGCAACCACGCCCATGTTATGCTTGCATCTACAGTAACTGTCGAAACCAACAAAAATGCATAAACTTAAGCCGCATTAGACGAGTAACAAGTTAACATTGATTGGCGATTGGCTTCAAAATTACATAGAACATCACTAACAAGTGAACACAAACCACAAGCATTATCCAGCAAATTATTACAAATAGCATACAACAAACAAACACACCAAAAATAAGTGGGATAAGACTGGAAGTGCCAACAAGAAAAAGGCGAGAGAACCACTGGGAACAGCTGAAATGATGCGAATATTACTGCGTTAACAAAGCCTTACCACAGCTATCAAGTTTTAATTCCTGTATTCACTCGCTTGGATATGCTGGTAGTCCCCTTCTTCATATGCCTCCCCTTCCTCAGGGACTGCAGGTTCTGCATTTTCAGGTTGTCCCTGATGGTTGGTTGCCATTTTACTGTGTGGATCATCCCGGTAATGCTCATGTCGCTTTGAGCGCTCATGTCCATCTAGGCCATAACCATACTGTTCGTGACTTCTGTGGTGCTCATGCTGGTTATAGCCAAGCTCACCATTACCATAATCAGCATCACTCTCCTGCAAGTGACCACGATCATGTTCATGGCGCGCACGCTTGTAATCTCGGTCCCTGCCAGGGTCCTGTTCGTGACTTGCACGCTCGTAATCTCTGTCACGGTCTCTGCCCCTGCCATGAGAGCGCTCACGTTTCCTGTCTCTATCCTGGTCTCTATCCCGGCCATGATCCTTGTGCCTATCCCTATCACGCCGGTCACGCCCACGGTCTCTCTCCTGGTCCCGTTCTCGGTCCCTATCACGAGTTCTCTCACGATCTCTATGGTGGTGCCTATCTTCCCTTGGATCACGATCACGGGTCCTGTCATGTGAGCGTTCACGAGTTTTCTCGTCACGATCTCTTTCCCGTACCCTATCACGAGATTTCTCACGATCCCTGCAGCAAAAGTATTACGTCACTTTAGCAAATAATATAAGCATCAAGGTAACAGCGAGCAATATATAAGGATATAAAATGCTTACCGATCTGCAGGACGATCATCCCTCCTAGGCTCTTCTGATCTGGGTCGCCCAGCAGCGTTCTGTTGCTCTCTGATAAGTGGTAACCAAAACATATTAGCACAAGATACTAATTACATCATCTAACATACGGACAACATCAATATAATACCCTAAAGCCCCCAAAAACGTTCTGCACCACCAGCTATACACAGAAACAGAACCAAGGTTACTATCATACACATGTTAATACCGCGTTATACCCTGATATATCAACAATAATGCAGTATCAAACATCAGTGTGGATGAACAATGTCAGACTCATTATAGACCGTTAATACATACTCCCTCCGTCCGGAAATACTTGTCTAAGAAATGGATAAAATGGATGTATCTATAACTAAAATAAGTCTACATACATCCATTACTAGGACAAGTATTTTCGGACGGAGGGAGTATAAAGGTATACCAGACAGTAGAGAGAAATGCAGTAACAAGAAAATTAAGTATTCTTACCTAGCAGAATGCTTCTGGGCAGCATCTTCACCACCAATCCTGCTTGATCCAAGTCCACCACCCAATCTCCTAGGACGCCAATTTGGAACAGTTCTACCACGCTCTACGTCAACAAGCACCCTTTTGTTATCCACTTTTCTCCCATCAGCTTGCTTATAAGCACCTGGTGACAACAAAGCATGAAATGGGTCAGTCATCAAGCCATGCAAGCCTACATTGAGTTTGAATGACCAATGAACTTACTTTTCATGTCCCGAGTGTGTGCATACTCTACGAATGCATATCCTCTAGGTTTATTTGTTACCTTGTCGGTTACGAGCCGTACCTGCAAAGCTCAAAAACAGTAATTAAAGATTTTTTAGAAATAAACCTGCATTCAACTTAAGAAATACTACTGGCTATCAATACATACACTAGTTTGTTTGGCTAAAAACATATTTCATTGTTGCACGACAGGAAGGCACTAGCCTAACTAGCCGTGCTAACCTTGCATATGTAGAGCTTCCGCATAAGGATTGAAATCCAGCACACATGAACATGAAGTCTCGCCGATTCGCACATGTTGGAAAATACATCCCACACCCCCTTACCAGGGAACTTGCTTAATAAAGGGAAAAAATGTACTGCAGAGACTAAATACTATACCAAGTTACCCTCACCGTTGTTGCTTATAATTTGTTCAACCTTTGTGGCGAAGAAAACAAAATAGCCAAAGCAATTACATGAATCAAGGTGATAATAGTGCAGGGTAGGTAAGTATTCCTTACACACATGGAAATGGAGTAGACTCTTCAACTCTAGGAGTTGAGAGATACCATACGCATTATACGTTTGTGTTGTTTCCTCCATGAGAAGCAGAACTTGGCAGCAGCGCTAGTACCATAACAGCTCATGGAAAGTAACTACAAATACTACTCACCAGTGGACCTACCCAATTAGGTCTCAGGGCGTAGAAATCGCCTGCAGATAAGCTGCTCTTTAAGACAAAAGTGATCTACACTTCTGCCATTATAAGAATTCTTCATGCTTTGTCAGCTCCAGTTAATCAATATGGGAGATTTTGTGGGGCAGGAAAGAACCAATCATGAAAGCAACACTACCTTGTGGTGCCATGGCAAAAGCAAATTGTTTGCTCTGTTCCTCACGATTTTTCTCAAGAAATCAAGCATCAAAATTACCTTTGCATGCACATTTCTTTTACCAGAGAAATTTACAGTCTTCAAATGTTCTACCAACAGTGCACAGATTAAATGGCTTGCCAAGGATTCATACAGTATACCAAACTGATTGCTGCCTCGTCTGAACTCTGTTTAATTATCTACCAAGAAATGCATCGATTTCCATATGGACATCTATGGCTTACAGGGAGAAATGGTGTCATGACCCCCAAATTGAAAGATGCCTATCCAATATATTACCCAAAAAAACGTACACGAATACGCAGCAAAGAGAAAATATAATGTCGGCTCGCATTACTAAACTTGCTAAGAACAAGAAAGAGGAAGGAAATAGAACATGGAAAGATAGGTTTTCAACGTTCTTTGGAAAAAGTTTCAAAGAACACATGCTTTGTGTGTCGGAGGTTCTTTCTATCTTGGTATGAAAGGTTCCCAACTTGGTGGAAGCAACAAGAGAACATGCAGAATGACCTCATTCCCAAGTAGCACTTTGTGACAGCAGCTGCCAGGAGGCTATATAAGGCAGCAAAGCAAATTTTCCCCAGATTTCACCCACGATAGTTTAGCAACCAAAATAACTGAAAACCTTACCAATGAGGAATAACATCACCTGTACTGGTATTTACCATGTACACTTACCCTTTTAATAGGCCCATAAGCTTCAAAGTCCCTTTTAACCTTCTGCTCGGATGTCTCGTAGCCCTGCAACAGTTTCAAAAATTCAGTGAGAACTAAGTTACAAAAAAAACTTATTGATTGCACTGTTTTCACAGGAATTAAGAAAATCTGAATGATGGGGTAAAATACTCACAAGTCGTGCAACAAAGAGTGTTTTGTATGGATCTCCAGTGACATTGGGGTCATTTTGTGGGTCATCTACATAAAATAGTTTAAAAATAACAATGTTAGCAGTACATATATATAACACGAAAAGGGCAGTGTGGCTTCAGAAACAACTTACACTTCTGGAGCTCTTCAGCAACCTTAGCTGCACCTTCCTCAAGCTTAAGTTGACGGATTCTATCCTTCTTTTCAGCCTATTAACACAAAATTTAATACTAAAATAAGAGATAGACTAGCAATAAATAAGTATAAAACTTGAGTAATATTTGAATCTATAGCTCGCTAATTTATATGTACTCATGCAAGAAATTAACTTTGCATTATTTCATTGGATCAATCACAAATGTCCATGCTGTTTAGAAAGCCTTACTATCAAAATTCACATGACAGCATTGACAACTTAATTACTGGGAGTTCACCACTGTAATTTATTTTTTATTTGATTATTTCAGGTGCACTAAAAAGCCCAAGTACCCACCCCACCCTGTAAACTCCTAAACATAATTGCATATCAAGAGGTACTATATGATCATGAGCACACAACTTGGGGGAAGGATACCAGTGCCGCTACAGAATGCCTGCACATAAGAGGTACTATATCTATATGATTACTAACTACTCCCTCCGTTCCGAATTACTTGTCGCAGGTATGGATGTATCGATGTATTTTAGTTCTAGATACATCCATTTCTGCGACGAGTAATTTGGAACGGAGGGAGTACACAACTTGGGACAAGGATACCGCCACAGAATGTCCATGCCAGCTGATTCAGCGCAAACTGCAGCAACAAGACCAAAAACATACCCTAGTCTCGCATGTGGGGACAGGCGGAGCATACTCGGGGTCACCAGGCTCTGCGAACCTCGATACAAACTGCGACATTCCTGCAAACCGATCAAAAACAGTCCATCAGCAGGGCCGCTGGCATCAAGCACAAACATAGTTGCGCGATGGGGATTTTTTGAATTAAGGGGTTGGCCCCCAATTTCATTACGGAGTACTTAAATTGATAAGATGCACGATGGGAATTACCAGAGTAAGCCGGCAACTTGCGCTTCTCGAGCGGCGGCTTGTGCTCGAGCGGTGGCCGTGGCTCGAACAGCTTCAGCAGGTTCGTCGTCAGCCCCGTCGGATGGCTCTGCCCGATCTGCCACCAAACAGCAACACAGAATCAAATCTCGGATAGAAAGACAGATCGAACGGAGAAGGCGAGAGGCTAGGGTTAGGTCTAGAGGGGGAGCGGCGAAGGCTTACGAGCTTGAGCTGGAGGAGGTTGGCGCGGCTCTGCGCCTTCACGCGGGACTGCACGCCCGCGTCCTGGTTCCGCATCATCGCGTTCCCGTAGTCGCCCATGGCGGCGGCGGCGGATTTGCGAGCTCGGAGGAGATTGTTCGAAGGATTGTGGGGAGAGGGTTTGGTCAGTTTTTAACGGAGCCTGTGGGCGTGGGCCGGTTCCGTCACTGATTCGATGGACCCGTAGTCGTGAGCGGCCTACATGTCAGCTTCTGCTAATTATATTATAAAATAAAAAGAAGAAAAACATGTTAGAGCATTTCTAATAGTACCCTTAAACCCTTAAATCTGTAAAAATAACTGTTTTTTTACAGTTTGGACAGAAAAAAGTGCGTAGACTAGACCCCTTTAACCTTTAAACCCTTAAATTTTTTTAGAGGCCCAACCCGAAAACACATCTCCAACCTGTAGAAGTGGGGGTTTGGGAGGAAAACAGGGGTCAACTTGCAATCCTAGCAACGACGCGCGAGAGGGAAGTTTCATCCTCCCCAACCTCCGCGCCGCCGCCGCCGCCGCGCGGATCCGGCCGCCCGCCGCCGTCCCCGCCGTCCCGCCGGCGCCTCACGCCTCGGCCGCGTCCATCCCCGGCCCCGGACGGCCGCGCCTCCTCCTCTCCGCGCGGATCGCCGCCCTTGCCCGCCCTCCGCTGCCGGAGGTGATGCGTTGCGCCGTCCTTCCGTCACCGTCGCGGCCCGCATCGAGCAGGGCGAGGCGAGCGGCCGCGCGCGCGGCTCAGCGTGAGGAGGGCGCGGACGTCGGCCACGGTAGCAGGCACTCAGCAAGCCGGTCTCGGCAGAGAAGAAATCATAGGCCACGCCTCAATGTTGTTGCCTGTTGTCTGTATGAATTTCTTCGTGCCCCCCTTGCTTGGAGCTTAATTTTAGTCCGGCGTCGGTGTTTGCCACTCTTTGCACCGCGCGGCACATGCCCACGAGCTGTTTGATGCTTTGCGTCAACGAGTTCGAGCGGGCCTAGTTCTTGGTTCATCCACATGTTTATCAAAAGCAATATGTTTCTTGTGTCAGGAGGTTTCCGAGAAATGATCGAGGTATACATTCACTAATCAGTTGCACTAACGGTACTTTTGGAGTATCAGAACAGGGTCAAATTTGTCCGTCCTTATAAAATCGTCAAACTTTGATAATTGCTATATTTGTATGTCACACCAAGCTTTACTTTTAGCATATCTATAGTTTGAAGACAGACATTGGTGCTAAAATTTTCATCTATATTATCTGTTGGACCATTAAACAAGGACATGTTTCTTCTTTAGATCTAAAAACATTGTAATTTGATTAATGTTGGATCATTCGGTGGTGTAATAATTTGATTAATGGAATTTGTGATATGTCATATGATAAAATGTGATGAAATGTGTGATATGTGAAATGACAGTTTTAAAGGTTGGGGTTGAGGCAAAGACTAGAACCCTCAAATCCAACCCTTAAAGTAGTTTAAGGGTTGGGTTTGAGGGTTCTAGTATTTACCCTTGTTTTTCAACCCTTAAAAGTGTCAAAAAGTGGCACTTCTCAACCCTTAGAACTGCTTTAAGGATTTGAGGGTTTGAGGGTTCTACTAGTAATGCTCTTAGCTTCTGCTTCACAACCCTGACCTGTGGAGCCCACGCTCGTGCGGCGGACGACCAAACCCTGTCGGTTGCTTCTCCCTCCACAGGCGGTCTCGTCTCTACTCGTCGTCGCTGGCGCACTCCACACACATTCGCTTCCTCTTGGCCATGACTGGCGCATGCTACGCTCGTCGCTCCGCCTTTTCGCCAACCTGTCACAAGTTCGTTTCCTCTCTTACTTCCGTCGCCTCAGTGAGTCGGACTGCGCCCCTTCGGTCACCTCCAGTGCAGCCATCCTCCATGCAATGAGCGTCGCTCCATGTACTGCGAGGCGGCGGACCTATTTGTGCTCTGGAGGGGCGCTCCCACATCGCTGCCAGTGTCAAAGTTCCACGTCCTCATTCCAGGGCTTTGTTCGAAGGGCGCAATCGACAAGGCCCGCTTCCTGTTCGATGCAATGCAGGGTTCGAGGGTGACACCGTTGGTCCGCGTCTACAAGTCATTTGGGTTCGCACACTGCAAGGCAAGGCGCTTGCGCGAGACCGACGAGAGGTGGCGGGCACATCGCTTGTCCAGGCCTTCTCTCTCTACCAGGAGGGGCGGCTGGAACTGGCATATTGGGTGTGTTTCATAGGATGCGGGTGGATGAAGGTGTCGGGTTGGATGGATATGCTTATACAACAATGGTAGGTGGTTTATTTGAGCATGGGTATGCAGACCATGGTTGGGAGTTGTACGAGCAGATGAAGGACATGGCCCATGGGCATGGAGCCAAGCCCGGTGACATACAATGTGATGATGAAGTGGCATTTCAAGAGCAAGTGGGTTGGTGCTGCAATGGCACTCTACGATGCAATGGTGAGCGGCAGTACTTGAGGTCTTACACTATTCTGATGGCATCGCTTTGCAAGGAAAGAAATTTTGTAGAAGCTAAGCAGATGTTCGATAAGATGCTGGAGAGGGGTGTTTCCCCTGATCATGTGGTGTTCATTTCAATAGCAAAGTTCTTACCCAAGGGCTGGGAGGTTTGATGAGCCACAAGTATATGGGATCAATTGGATCTCTTTTCGGTAAGTAAGAGTGTCGAACCCAGCGAGGAGCAAAAGGAAACGACAAGTGGTTTTCAGCAAGGTAATGTCTGCAAGTGCTAAAATTGTAAGTAACAGAATAGTTTGATAGCAAGGTAATTTGTAACGAGCAAGTAATGATGATAGTAGTAAAAGTGCAGCAAGGTTGCCCAATCCTTTTGAGGCAAAGTACAGGCCAAAACGGTATTTTATGATAAGCAAAGTGTTCTTGAGGGTACACGGGAATCTCATCTAGTCACTTTCACCACGTTGGTTCGATTTGTGTTCGCTACTTTGATAATTTGATATGTGGGTGGACCGGTGCTTAGGTGATGTTCTTAGTTGAACAAACCTCCTACTTATGATTACCCCTCCCGCAAGCATCCGCAACTACGAGAAAAGTATTAAGAATAAATTCTAACCATAGCATTAAATTTTTGGATCCAATCCGTCCCTTACGGAATAACGCATAAACTGGGGTTTAAGCTTCTGTCACTCTCGCAACCCATCATCTAATTGCTACTCCACAATGCATTCCCTTAGGCCCAAATATGGTGAAGTGTCATGTAGTCGACGTTCACATGACACCACTAAGGAAATCACAACATACATACTATCAAAATATCGAACACTTATCAAGTTCACATGATTACTTGCAACATGATTTCTCCCGTGACCTCGAGAACAAAAGTAAATACTCACAAATGATAAGCATGCTCAAGATCAGAGGGGTATTAAATAGCATATTGGATTTGAACATATAATCTTCCACCAAATAAACCATATAATAATCAACTACAAGATGTAATCAACACTACTATTCACCCACAAGCACCAATCTATAGTTCCAGTAACAAGATTGGACACAAGAGATGAACTAGGTTTTGAGGTGAGATGGTGATGTTGAAGATGTTGATGGAGATTGCCCTCCCCAAGATGGGAGAGTTGTTGGTGATGATGATGACGATGATTTCCCCCTCCGGGAGGGAAGTTCTCCCGGCGGAATCGCTCCGCCGGAGGGCAAAAGTGCTCCTACCCAAGTTCCGCCTCGAGACTGCGGCGCTCCGTCCCGAAAGTCCTCTCCTTATTTTTTTTCTAGGTCAAAATGACTTATATACCAGAAGACGGGCGCCGGAGGTGGCCCTAGGTGAGCACAACCCACCAGGGCGCGCCCAGGTGGGTTGTGCCCACCTGGTGGGCCTCCTCTGATACTTATTTGCTCCAATATTCATCATATATTCCATAAATTCTCCATGAAGTTTCAGCCTATTTGGAGTTGTGCAAAATAGGTAGTCTGGCGTAGCTTTTCCAGATCCAGATTTCCAGCTGCCGGAATTCTCCCTCTTTGTGTGTACCTTGCAAATTATGAGAGAAAACACATTATAATTACTCCAAAAAGCATTATGATGTATAAAAACATCATAAATAACAGTATGAAAACATGATGCAAAATGGACGTATCAAGGTCCTATGTGTGGAAAGCATTGAAGGTTGTTACCAAGTTGGATTGTAGCCGCTGGTGAAGGAAATATGCCCTAGAGGCAATAATAAAGTTGTTATTTTATATTTCCTTATTCATGATAAATTTTTATTATTCATGCTAGAATTGTATTGACTGGAAACCTTAATACATGCGTGAATACATAGACAAACATTGAGTCCCTAGTGAGGCTCTACTTGACTAGCTCGTTGATCACAGATGGTTAAGGTTTCCTAACCATGGACATGAGTTGTCATTTGATAAACGGGATCACATCATTAGGAGAATGATGTGATGGACATGACCCATCCGTTAGCTTAGCATATTGATCGTTCAGTTTTATTGCTATTGCTTTCTTCATGTCAAATACATATTCCTTCAACTGTGAGATTATGCAACTCCCGGATACCGGAGGAATGCCTTGTGTGCTATCAAATGTCACAACGTAACTGGGTGATTATAAAGATGCTCTACAGGTATCTCCGAAGGTATCTGTTGGGTTGGCATAGATCGAGATTAGGATTTGTCACTCCGAGCATCGGAGAGGTATCTCTAGGCCCTCTCGATAATACACATCATGAGAAGCCTTGGAAGCGAATTAACTAATGAATTAGTTGTGGGGTGATGTATTACGGAACGAGTAAAGAGACTTGCCGGTAACGAGATTGAACTATGTATGAAGATACCGGCGATCGAATCTCGGGCATGTAACATACCGATGATAGAGGGAATAACGTATATTGTCATAACGGTTCGACCGATAAAGATCTTCATAGAATATGTAGGAACCAATATGAGCATCCAGGTTCCGCTATTGGTTATTGACCGAAGAGGTGTCTCGGTCATGTCTACATAGTTCTCGAACCCGTAGGGTCCGCACGCTTAACGTTCGATGACGATTTAATATTATATGAGTTATGTGATTTGGTGACCGAATGTTATTCGG